AAAAAGAAAAAAAAATCCACTAAATTCTGTGGCAAAACTTACACAACATTGGTGGCTTTTATAAGATTCAGATAGCAGAGAATTTCTGCAGCTACATGGTGAGTTAAAGTCCAGCCTGGGCTATATGAGACCCAGTATCAAGCTGGAAAAAATAGGAAAAGCAAATTTATAAATCATGAGACATTTATCAGCTCTTCAAGTACTTACTAAATAGTACCTCAACACATGGATGTGCACTATCCTCAGAGATTAGAAGAGGGATGGTTTAGAGTGCTGGAAACTGAACACGGGTCATCCACAAGGACAAACGTTCTTAACTGTGAGCCATTTCTCCAGCCCCCATTTGACCTTTCCTTTATATTTATCTTCTATTTCTTCTGTACTCACCTGGTATGATTGCCTAGATCTCCTACTTTACTACAGAGTTAGTAAACTTTTTTTTTAAGATTTTATTTATTTATTACGTATAAAACATTCTGCTTCCATGTATATCTGCACACCAGAAAAGGGTACCAGATTTCATAACGGATGGTTGTGAGCTACCATGTGTTTGCTGGGAATTGAACTCAGGACCTCTGGAAGAGCAATCAGTGCTCTTAACCTCTGAGCCATCTTTGCAGCCCAGAGTGAGTTAGTAAATTTTCAAGGTACAGGGCCAGATGGTAAATATTTCAGTCTATGTGGGCCATAAAATCTCTGCCACAACAGTTAACCTCTGCCACTACAGCTCAATAGTAGCCTAAGACAAGAGACAGGCTGTGGTGTGGTGTGACTATATTCCCATAACACTATTTACAACAAGCTGTGGGCTGGGTTTGGGCCAAGGAGTGCTAGCTCACCCTTGAACTAGCACAATTTAGGCTGCAGGAGGGAAGTAAGGACTTGAGTGTCATAAACGTCTGGCCTCAGCATTGCATGGTTCTGAGCAAGGTACAAAACTTTCCTTGAATCTGAATACTCCCTAAAAACAAAACCATAGCACTTTCTTATTAGGTCAGAAACAGTGAAAATGTCAAGTGTAGTTTCAAACATCTGTGATTCTGGCTCATGAGAGATATAGGCAGGAGTTTGAGGCCAAACTTGATTATATAGGAAGTTTAAAGCCATTCTGGGCTATAGGAAACTGTCTTCAAAGAAAAAAAAAATAATGGAGAAAAAGTACTGCTAGAGAACATGACATATAATAATATGCCTTATGTAAATAGTAGCTATTATTATTATAGTTAGAGAAAACATCAAAAAGGGCAGGGAAAATAATACTAGGAAGTGACAATTAGCTTCAGAAATACTAGCTTTGTGTGAGTGTGCACGTACATGTGCTATAATACTAAAAATAATGGAACTGACTATGCTGTGGCCTGGTCTGGTGGCACATGCCTGTAATCCCAATCATCTTGGAGACTAATGTAGGAACACAGATTCATATCCTGTTTGGGCTCGCAACAAGTTCAAAGGCAGCCTGGGCAACTTATGTAATAGAGGCTAGCCTCAAACTCCTGAGCCTCCTGCCTCTATTTCTTAAGGGCAAGAATGAGCATGCCCAACTTCACTTAATCTTTACAACATAATGGGAAGGTACTGTGTGGAAGTCAGCTCATATCTGGAGGTCAGAGGACAACTTGAGGGAGTCTATTCTCTCCTTTTACCATGTGAGTTCAAACCCAAGTCACCAGGCTTGGAGACAGGTGGACAGGTGCCCTTATTCACTGAGCCATCTCACAGGCCTGAGATACTTTTCTTTAAGATTTATATGTATAAATGTTTTGTCTGCATGCATGCATGTATACCATGCAAGTCATAAGAGAGCTTAGAGATTCTGGAACTCAAGGTACACATGGTTGAATCACCATGCGGGTGCTTGGAATTGAACTTTGGTCATCTGCAAGAGCAGTCAGTGTACTTAACTACTAAGCCATCTCTCCATCCCCTCTAAAATCTTTTTCTTTCTTTCTTTCTTCCTTCCTTCCTTTTTTTTTTAGGATATTAAATTAAAAATAAAAATCTTCTATACAGCCGGAAGCTTCAGTAACCTATTATACGTAGAGAAGGATATTAAATTAAAAACAAAAATCTTCTATACAGCCGGAAGCTTCAGTAACCTATTATACGTAGAGAAAAATTTGATTTACCGACACTGGCTTTTAGAAATTTATTTCCAATTCTTTGGTCCATCCCAATAGCTGTTGCCACCTCTTCCACATCAGCCCCTGTTGCTTCACACAGAGCACTGATGGAGTTAATGCTGCTGATCCTCTGGGCAAGAAAAGCATTTGCTGCCTTTACATAAAGAAAAGAGAAGACAGTGAGTACAAACGCCATTTTATATGTCAGTGTGTTTCACTCAGGGATGCAAGTTACTAAGCAGGCATAGAGATATTGGATTCATTTTGAAGAAAAAGTGTAAGACAGTGTGTGTGTGTGTGTGTGTGTGTGTGTGTGTGTGTGTGTGTTGATCCCTACAGTCAGGAAGCTGAGGCAGGATTTGAGTTTCACAATGACCTGAGTAACATTTCATATGCTGCCTAAACATAGTCACAGATTTAACGAAGAGTTGCAAGCTCTGTACTAACCAGTTTGGAAAGCTCTGAGGACCAAGTGTTGGTGGTAAGGATCTTCTCCTTGGGAACCCAGTGCTCATACACAGCACAGAGCGCCCGCACAGCTTTCTGGCCCTCTGGGGTTTCATCCCCTCCAATCAGGACTCTGTCTGGGTTCTTTAGGTCCTTGATGGCTGTCCCCTCTGCCAAGAACTCAGGGTTGGACAGTACCTAGAAGAGCAATACAAAAGAAAGTTAGGCTAGAATGAATTGTGAATAAGTTTAAGGCATCGGTCTCTACCTAAGAAGACTCAGATGCTAGTGTTTTCTTTATGGATCTTCATACCTGCAAATTCAAGTTGGGCTTTGTGTTGGCATCAAATATACGGCGGATGCTCTCTGCTGCCCGCACAGGGACTGTGCTTTTCTCAGTCACGATTTTGTACCCATTTGAGTTTTGCACAATGCGTCGAGCACAAGCTTCAATATATTTCAGATCTGCTGCCCGGCCTTTCCCCATCCCATAGGTTTTTGTTGGTGTGTTTACCTAGTGAGAGCATTCGGGAAGAAGAACAAACATGGTGCCTGTGAAGACTACTCAGGGCTTTCAAGACAGTGCCCAGACAGACTATCAGTTAACTAATCAACAGTGGGCATGGTCTTAACTCTACAGAACTCAACACCCTTCACAAATATAGCCACTGAAAGAAACAACTGGAAACATCTAGAGAACTCTTTGCCTTACATGGCCCAGATCCGAGGGCAGGCAGGCAGGTTCCAAGCTAAGGCCAGGAGATAAAATGAATGAATTCAGAGATCCTTAATCTAAAGGAGTGCCTGTCTGTCACATGCAATATAGTATCATGGTCTTTTTAAAAAAAATTATGTTACGTGTATTTTTTGTCTATGTGTATGTACATAAGCTGTGTAAATGCCTGGTGCCCATAGAGGTCAAAAGAGGGTGTTAGATCCTGAAACTGAATTACAAATATTGGTAAGCTGCCATGTGGGTGCTGGGAATTGAACTCAGATCCTTTGGGAGAGCAGCCAGTGCTCTTGACCACCGGGCCACCTCTCTAGTCCCTATTATAGTCTTTAAAAATAGATTATAGGTCTGGAGAGATGACTCAGCAGTTAAGAGTACTTGTGGCTTAATACCAAATCAAAGAAAGAAGCTTTCACAAGCAGGAATATAAATATATATATCAAATAAATCACATGGCAAAACAAACTACTTACAGAAATAAATACTAGGTCAGCTTCTCTGATGGCATCATCAATATTGGTAGAAAAAAACAGATTTTTCCCTCGACAGGATTCTACCACTTCCTTTAATCCAGGCTAGAGAAGGGGAAAAGGAAAAGGAGTTAACACACAGATAGTATTATCCAGTCCGGAGACGAACAGCAACAGAATCACTTTTGTTAAGGGGAAGGTTGTGCTACAATTTAAAGGTCTAGGTTTCCAAGTAACATCTTTTAGAATAGCTGAGGATTGCTGGGCATGGCAGTGCACACCTGTAGTCCTGATCCTTGGAAGGCTGAGGCAGGAGAGCTGAGGGTGGGGCAAGTCTGAGCTACAGTGAATTTGAGGTCAAGTCAGGCTACACTGGGAGGTCCTGTGAAAACCAGAAAAAGGGGGGACCATACACAAAACACAGTAAGTAAGGGTGTCATCACCAAATGAAGCAAAGTTGAACTTTCACAATGAAAGATCAGCAGCTCCAACATGCTTTGTCATTGTTTACCATGGACCTGGGTGATACGTTAACCATTAACTCCCCGTATCAACTCAATTATCACATCCTTAAAGGCCCTGTGATTGCAAGCAAATGTTTCTGCATTGTCATTATGAATGCAGTTATGTCAGTCCAGTGTTCCACTCCACCCCCACCCCCCGCCCCATGATTCACACCATAGAGGTAGTTGCAAAAGCTAGTATTTACTTTTATTCAAAGAGACAATAGTATGTGTTTTTCTAAGTCCTACTTTAAGAAACACTGAAAATCTTTACTACTTTTTCCTGTGCAATTTTGCTGGGGATATATTTATGTTAAAAAAATCTTTAAAGGAACACTGCTACTTAGAAAGTATTTGTTTAACTTTTTTAAAACCTACATTTATTTTGGGTGTGGTTGTGGTGTAGCGGTGTGCATGCAATGGTATGCGTGTGGAGGTAAGAAGACAACCTTTGGGAGTTGGTCCTCCCTTCTGCTGTGTTGGTCTAGAGTCACACTCAGGTCACCAGGTTTGGTGGCCAGCACCTTTACCAAAGTCAACTTGTCAGTACAAAAGTATTCTTATAGAGAGAAAAACCTAAGCCTAAATCTGCCAGATCTGTTTCCTAGATCTAATTACCAATTTACAGGAAATAAAGGATGCAGGGAATGTTCTAAATACTCAAGGGAGCTCAGGAGTCAACCAGGAGAATCTACTCTGAAATCTCCACAAGAAACCAGTTTCTCTAACTAAAGAGCAGGGGAGAAACAAAAACTATAACAAAGCAAGAGAGGATGAGCAAGTTAGCAGGAAATTAAAAGATTGTGGACTTATAAAACATTGGGCAGGACAGTGTTGGTGCACGCCTGTAGTCCCAGCACTCAGGAAGCAGAGGCAGGCAAATTTCTGTGAGTTCAAGGCCAGCCTGGTCTACAGAGTGAGTTCCAGGACAGCCAGGGCCACACAGAGAAATCCTGTCTCAAAACAAACAAAAAATAGGAGCTGGAGAGATGGCTGCTCTTTCAGAGGACCTGAGTTCAATTCCCAGCGCCCACATAGCTACTCACAACCATCTGTAATTCCAGTTCCAGGGAATCTGACACCCATGGCAAAACACCAATGCACATAAGATAAACTAAAGACCAAAACAAAAAATAAACAAGCAAGAAAACAAAACAAGACACAGCTGAGTGTAGTGTGCACACCTGTGCTCTAGCACTCAGGAGGCTGACTGGAGGACTTCAAGTTTGTCCAGTGAGATTCTGTCTCAAAAGAAATAAACAAAATACTTACACTAAGTGATACCATTCTACTGCAAAATGGGAATCTTACTTGGTCCCTGACTTAAACTAACTGGGGATGAACATGTGTTAAGTTTTTTGTTTGTTTGTTTTTTGGTGGTGGTGACTGATCCTAAGGCCTAGAATATGCTAAGTGTCTGTTCTCTCATTAGGCTAACACTCCCATTCCCAAGAGCTCTTCATAGTAAGATTTTTTATTTTTGGTAATGAATGGTGATGTGTTCATGCCTAAAAAGAAGAATTATTCTGAGAAGCACATAATGCAACTGTATCAGATGAAATTATAAATAATCAGGATGGTGGGAGATGGGAGGAAACAGGCCATGTCCACAGCTGTCAAACAGTGATGGACCCACAGGTTCATTTCCTATTATCTTTGCATTTGTTTATTTTTAGAGGGGCTGGAGACATGGCCCAGCAGTTTACAGCATAGGTTGCTCTTGCAGAGTACTGAGGTTTGAGTCTTAGCACCCACAATCATCCATAATGACAGTTCCAGGGTACCCAAGCCCCTCTTCTGACCACCAAGAGCACCAAGCATGCATGTGGTGCACATACAGACATGCACACAAAACATTCACACATGTCTTATTCTTCATTAATTTTAAATGACTTTTTTTTACATTCATTCATTCATTCATTCATTTATATGTGTATATGTGTGTGTATATGCAGGTCTCTTCATTAATTTTAAATGACTTTTTTTTATATTCATTCATTCATTCATTTATATGTGTATATGTGTGTGTATATGCAGGTGTGCCATAGCATGTGCTTGCCATGGTGTGCATATGGAGGTCAGAGGACAACTATTGGGAATAATTCTTTCCTTTCATTAGGGGGGTCCCAGGATCAAACTCAGGGCATCAGGTTTGATAGCAAATGCCTTTCTCAGCTGAGCCATCATTTCCTTGGCCCTGAGACTTTTTAACATAAGCTACTGGAGGAGGTATAACTGTAAACTCATATTCCTGTTACCTATTAAAATATAAGCAGGACCAGCAACATACATAAACCACTAAAACAAGTGTGGTGTCACCAAGCATTGCACCAGGACAGACTCCTTTGGCTATTCTGACTGGGTTCTAGAAAATGACAGAGAAAGTTATAAAGGCAGGGTTTTGCAGGGAGCAGGTTGATCAGTCTTCTGTTACATGAAGTGAATCTGGCATAGAAAGACAAATACCTCGTGTCCTCAATGATGCGGATGCCAGAAGAGCTGATCACACAGAGAGAATAAAACAGTGGTGGGGAAGAGTGATAGTGATAGGATGGGAAATGGGTTCCTAAGTCCAGCTGGTTGGGAGAATGACTTCTAACATTCTAGAGACAGCAGGGTCACTGGATAATAGCTGTTAATCAGATTATTTCAAAATAGATTGTAGAAAATTCTTTCTCTCTCCTTTTAAGAATTTTATATTCACTGGTGTTTTACCTACATGCATGTTTATGTGAGGGTGTCAGAAGCCCTGGAACTGGAGTTACAGAAAGGTGTGAGCTGAAAGTGGATGCTGGGAATTGAACCTGAGTATCCTGGAAGAGCAGTAAGTGCTCTCAACTGCTGAGCCATCACTCCAGTCCCGAAAATTCCCTTAATACAAATAAATAATAAATGTTCTGAGGTGACAGATAGGATTAATTATTCTGATAAGATCTTTAAGCACTGTTCATGAAATATCACACTGTACCCATGCGTATATACAAAAAAAATTGATAGTTCTATATATAAAATAAAGCATGCATCTATTTATTTGTTTGTTTATTTATTTATTTGTAGGCAGGGCCTCATGCAGCTGGCCTGGAACTCAGGGACCAGCCATCCTCTATCTCCCACGCACTAGGATTAAAGGCATGCATCACCACACCAGGCCTCTACTTACTATTTTTGTGTTTTGGGAGTTTTTCTCTTTATATAGCCCTGGCTGTCCTGGGACTTGCTATGTGGACCAAGCTGGCCTCAAATTCATAGAGCTCAGCTTGACTCTGTCTCCTGAGTGCCAGAGTTAAAGGTATGCTCCATCACATCCAGCAGTCCACTATTTTCTAAGACAGGGACTCATGTAGTCCAAACTGGCCTCAAACTCACTGTTGTGGGGCTTCTGTCCTTCTGACTCCAGCTCTTGAGTGTGCCACCATGGCCCTTCTGGGGAAAGCACAGGACTATGCACTGAACAAGCATTCCACTGGCTGAGCAATAGCCCAGCCCAGGCACATTTCTTTTTTGCTATCTCAGCATTTCCTGATGTAACTGTCACTTTATCATCCTTAATTTCTTCTTCTTTCCTTTGCAGAACTGGAGAGGAATTTCAGGGCCTGACACACGCTAACCATATGCTACACTTCCAGCTCAAAGGCCCATAGCATTTTCTTTCTTTCTTTTTTTCTTTTTGGTTTTTTCGAGACAGGATTTCTCTGTGGCTTTGGAGGCTGTCCTGGAACTAGCTCTTGTAGACCAGGATGGTCTCGAACTTACAGAGATCCACCTGCCTCTGCCTCCTGAGTGCTGGGATTTGTAGCATTTTCTTATCTGGAATTTTTGTTTCACACTTTTGGCTTTTTGCTCACTATCTAGTCCAGGCTAGCCTGGACCTCACTAGGTAGTTCAGTAATCCTCCTGCCTTAGCTTCTAAAGTACTGGAATTATAGGCATACACTACCACATTTAGTTTTCCTTTCTTTTTTTCTTATTATCTGGAACCCAAGGCCTTATGTCAGCTAGTTAAGCTAGGAAAAGCTACATTCAAGTGCTATCCAGAATCTTTACTTTGTTTTGAGGCAGGGTCTCTCTGTGTTGTCCCGCTTGACCTTAAGCCAGCTATGTAGACCAGGCAGACTATGAACTTCCTTCAGTCCTCCTGAGAGCGGGGATCATGGGTCTTACCAACATGCCCAGCCAGACTTTTTTCATTAAATTGGTTGCAGCCATAGATACTACAATAATATATATATATATATATATACCGAGCCCAGCCTGGTCTAAAAGAGCTACTTCCAGCCTCCAAAGCCACAGAGAAACCCTATCTCGGAACCCCCCCCAAAAAAAAAAAACCAAAACCAAAGCTGTTTAATATATAATTTACCTCATAAATAGGAAGGGTTGGAGAATTCCATGCATTGATTCTTGACTCATTGACATCAACAACTGTTACCCTGATTTCAGGGCACATATGAGCAATGACACTGCATGTGGGCCCACCAACATAGCCTGCACCAATGCAACAGATCTTCTTAATTTCAACCATGATTGAACTAGAAGGGAAACAATAAAAAAATGTTTTAGTATTGGAAACAGAAAATATGGACAAATCACTGGCATATTCATCACAAAACTGTCAGATATCTGGAATGATTTCCTATGTTTGCTCATAGGAATTACGAAAATTGTGAGTGAAAAATAACATTCCAATTAGATGACTTGGCCACTCCTCCACTGTGCTAGCATGAAAAAGAGGAAGAATTTATAACAATGGATATTACCACATATACCATAAAATTATAATGTTCTGATAGAAAGTTAAGAAGCAAAATCAAGCCTCTCCCCTGAACCAGGATAGCTTTGGGTGCAAAGAGAAAGCCTTAGAGTAAACTTTTACATCGGGCATTCTCACTTATATGTGAGCATACAAAGGTGAGCTTTCCAACAGGTTCAGATGGTCACAGATGGTAAGTTTAGTGCCATGATTCAGACCTGGCCTCTAAGATTATGTTTCTGCTTGGCTTAAACATATCCCTCCGGAAGTGTGCAATAAACTTAATTCCCAAAGCAAAAGAGCTGGTAGGCGGGGCATAAGAGGAGGCCTTTAGGACATGAGAGCTCTACCCTCAGCATGGATTAATGCCTATTATAAAAGGATTTAAAGCTACAGGTTTGATCTCATATCTTTTGTTCTTCCGCCAGGGAATGACACAGCAAAACAGCCTGGTGCCAGATGTCAGCCCCTCCATCTTGGTTTTGCCAACCTCTAGTACCCTGAGTCAAGAAATTCCTGTTCAACCATCTCAGGCATTGTTCTAACAGCTGAAAATAGAACAAATTACCCCTCAAATACTTAACTTGGCATAAGCAGATTATTTTTAAGCATTAGAATTTTTACCCCTCAAATACTTAACTTGGCATAAGCAGATTATTTTTAAGCATTAGACAATAATCTTGAAACTCCATTTCAACTTTAATTACAAAGTATGAAAACAATAAAGAAAAGTAATTTTCAAATGTGAACATATGTGCCTATGTGTGTGCTGGTATGCAACATCCGTATGTGGTCATGTACAGACCTGAGGCCCACATCATGCTACTCTACTGCTCTTTACCTATTCTTCTGAGGCAGGATCTCAGTGAACCTGGAGTTTGCTGTTGTCTAGCTGGGCTCCCTATCCAGCAATCCCTAACCATACCATCTCTGGCCCTCAGCCCTGGGATAACAGGTATATGCAGCCACAATAGCTTTTACTGGGTGCTGGGGATCAGAACTCAGGTTCTCAGGCTCACACAGCAAACCCTTTACTGTTCTGCAATCTCCCTAGCCAGGCAAAGTCACTTCTGCAGCTATCAATACTGTGGCACTGATCTTAGTATGTTTTCAACAGTCATTGGGTGAAATGATTGACACTAAAAATTTACAAGGGACTGGTTCATATATATGAACGCCTCATTATAACTACTGTCAAAATGACCAGTCATTCCAGTTTCTGCCAAGGTCTCAGACATCATTAATCCAACACATTCCTACAACCCAGGGAGAAGGAAAATAGTCAGACAGCTTAGCAGT